TAAAACAGGAAACATATTGTTTTAAACATGCCATTGGTGATTAACTATTTTGGGGAAATTATTTTACTGTAAATTTAATCTGATAAACAATATGTTTGCTGCCCTCTTGATGCTTCATATCAAAAAATTTCTTGTTTAATAAAAAAATAGTTAATTTAATTATGTATGATTTTTTTACTTGTATCTTGTTATTCTTCCAGTCAATTGGAGATGGAGAGGATGGACAAATATAAATAAACAATATACATTTTATTATTTTTACAATGTTTTTGTCTGTAATCAGCATGATCAGTAAACTAAAAACTAGAGCCAGATGGCTCTGTAGCTCACCTGAAATAGGTTTAGAAGACTTCAACCTTTTTTCGGTGGAAAACATCAATAGTATGTCAATGAAAAAAATGGTGTAAAACATTGGAGATAAAATACCAAGTATTTTTCCAATATAGTTTGCGACAACTATGTCAAGTGCAAGTCATGATGGCGTGAACAACTTGGATCATCTCACACTCATTACCATTTACCAACAGTTCTGTTCTCTGTGCCATGTGGTTCTTTGGAATCAGATTTTAAAATCTTTTGTAAAATGTGATTTTTTTCATATTTAAAAAAAGAATACTTATAATAAAATCACATTGATTGGAACAATATAAGATGAGAGGGAACAGCATTCATGAGAGGGAATGCCAGATTTCATCTTCAGCAATCAAGCAGTATTAGAGAAGATATTTAAAAGCACAATAGAAAATGTCTTCACGAGAAGAATCTCCATTCCAAATTTCTACTGTAAAGGTCCATGTTAGAGTTACCATGGGTCGCAGTGTCATTGAAGGCTGAGAAAAAGGAAAAGTTCCTTGGAAATATCCAAGCAACAGCTTCTATTAAGGTTGCTCAAACCATTTATTTTTCAAGACAAGTTTACTTTCCATAGCAACCACATGCAAAAATACACTTTTTGCCATTTCTCCCCAATGTAAGCAGATAATTTTTATGAAATACGGCGGCAGGCTTGTACGCAACAGGGTCAGATATGTCAAACAAACCTTGCACCTAACTATCATGCTGTTAAATTTGAATCACAAAAACATCCATGACAATAAAAAAATAGGACAAATATGTTACACCACACTACTAACTACACCTATGTCAAATTTCAATAAACTTTGCAAAATCATGGCCAAGTAATAGCTGTTAATCGGTTTCTTAGCCATGCTTAACATCTGATCAAAATTCTGAGAGCAAGATTGAGAGACATGATACATATCTAAGATAATCCATACACAAAGTTTCAGCTTTGTGGGCCTTGCAGTTTCACAGGAGAAGTTGAAATGCAGTAACACAATAAAACAGAGGTCAAAGGTCATAGCTAGATTAAAAAATCAAAATTTTCAAAAAACATATCACATGTTTTTCTAAAAGGCACGTACTTGCAGTTGCTGCATATTAAATGTCATAATGATACATGCAGAAATATCATGGTAGCAATATTTATATCATATCAGAATTTTGTGAGCATGTTTTAGAGAATACATAGCTGGGAGTATTCAGATAATATTTCGTCTCCATAGCTCTTGTGGGTTTCAGAGGAGAAGTAGAAATTATTTAAAAAATAACCAGGGCCCACTTGCACAAAGTGATCTTAGCACTACGACTATTGTAAGCCTATGTTAAAGTATGAGAGTTAGGATCATCTCAGCGCTAAGATCGCTTTGTACAAGTGGGCCCAAGAACAATCTGATTATAACCACAATCCCACTAATCCTAATCCTCACTCATATCACTCCTGTTCAATCTGATCAGACCTGATGATTCCAGCTCTGACCAGCTCAGGCTAACTCAATCTGCCAACTCAACTTGCATTAGACAGCTTCCATGAGTACTTCTTCGTCTGCCTGAGAGATCATGGGCCAATGTTATGTTATGTCCAATGATATTGATTTAAGTACAAGTTGTATTATTTTTTATAATTTGACATATCTCTTAGTGGGCAGAGAGCAGACTAACACTTGACTTTCACAGAAGCAACTGTCTGCACTGGCTCTGGGTTTCCTTGTCACTGCGGAATACTTTTGGCTTCACTGACAGGGGTAATCGATTGGCTTTGCTGCACTGTCACATGCCATACATTCACCTGTTGAATGAGGATATAACATTGGAAGGTCACCCATCTGTACATAACAGAGTGAAGTCTATATATGCAACTCCAATTTTGACAGGTATCTATGTTTATCTTTCATGATACACATTTAAATATATCTGACATATCTGATTATCACTTTCAAAGGTTGCATGGGTACGGAAATAACTGATGGTACGTGCAAGAATTCCAGACTGGTAGATTTAGTTTTATTGACTCTAGTTTACTGTTTCTTTATTATGGTTTGGTCATTAGTAATTAATTGATCGTTAGACTTGGCAGATCCCCAAAGTTCAAGTTCCAGCATTGTATCGTGTATCGTATCCCTACTTTGGAGATACATATGACATCATGGTAAAGTGTATTGTAACAGGCGTAGTAATTTATACCATTTGTTGCCTGCATTTCAAGACCATTGTGATCCAGTGGTCAAATAGAGGTGTAATACACACAGGAATATTTTGCATTCTTTGGCCTGGCAATCATCTGGAAAAGTGTGCTATAGCTGAAAAAACATACACCCTCTTTCCTTACGACACTCAGTAGATATGAGCTGAATGAATGATCAGGATTGTTACGGGTGGACGGATGAATTATTCATGTACACTGAATCACTGTGAATTGTGTACAGGTAGATGATTAATAAGAGACAGAACATGATGCATGATGAATGGACAGATGCACGAGTGAGTGATGTATGATGGAAGATGGTTAATAAACACATGATTTTGTTTGTTGTTTCAAGTCGCACTCAGCAATATTCCAGCAATATGATGGTGGTCAATAAATAATCAAGTCTGGACCAGGCATTCCAGTGATTGACATCATGAGCATTGATCCACACAATTGGGATACGATGAAATGCATCAACCAAGTCAGCAAGCCTGATCACACGATCCATGAATATACAGATGAATGATGGATGACAGATGATGAAATGGTGGATGGAGAGATGAATTTTGGATGGAGAGATGAATGGTGGATATAGAGATGAATGGAGGATGGATAGATGAATTGAGGATGGATAGATGAAAGGAGGATGGAGAGATGAATGGTGGATGGAGAGATAAATGGAGGGTGGAGAGATGAAAGGAGGGTGGATTGATGAATGGAGGATGGAGATATGAATGGAGGATGGAGAGATGAATCGAGAATGGAGATGAATGGAGGATGGAAAGATGAATAGTGGATGGAGAGATAAATGGAGGGTGGAGAGATGAATGGAGGATGGAGAGATGAATGGAGGATGGAGAGATGAATGATGGATGGAAAGATGAATGGAGGGTTGATAGATGAATGGAGGATGGAGAGATGAATGGAGGATGGAGAGATGAATGGTGTATATAGAGATGAATGGTGAATGGAGAGATGAATGGTGAATGGAGAGATGAATGGTGGATGGAGAGATGAATGGAGGATGGAGAGATGAATGGAGGGTGGATAGATGAATGGAGGATGGAGAGATGAATGGAGGATGGAGAGATGAATGGAGAATGGAGATGAATGGAGGATGGAAAGATGAATGGAGGATGGAGAGATAAATGGAGGGTGGAGAGATAAATGGAGGATGGAGAGATGAATGGTGAAAGGAGATGAATGGAGGATGGAGAGATGAATGGTGGATGGAGAGATGAATGGTGAATGGAAAGATGAATGGAGGATGGAGAGATGAATGGAGGATGGAAAGATGAATGGAGGATGGAGAGATGAATGGTGGATGGAAAGATGAATGGAGGATGGAGAGATGAATGGAGGATGGAGAGATGAATGGAGGATGGAGAGATGATAACTGAATGATTGAAAGATGACAGAATGATGGATTGACAGTTGATGGATGGACAGATGATGAATGGTCAATGACAGATGATGAATGGTCAATGACAGGTGATGAATGGTCAATGACAGGTGATGAATGGTCAATGACAGGTGATGAATGATGGATGACAGGTGATGAATGATGGGAAGACAGGTGATGAATGATGGGTAGACAGGTGATGCCTGATGGATGACAGGTGATGACAGGTGATGAATGATGGGAAGACAGGTGATGACTAATGGATGACAGGTGATGACTGATGGATGACAGGTGATGACTGATGGATGACAGGTGATGACTGATGGAAGACAGGTGATGAATGGTCAATAACAGGTGATGACTGATGGATGACAGGTGATGAATGATGGATGACAGGTGATGACTGATGGAAGACAGGTGATGAATGATGGAAGACAGGTGATGAATGATGGACATGATGGATCACAGGTGATAACTGGTCAATGACAGGTGATGACTGGTCAATGACAGGTGATGAATGGTCAATAACAGGTGATGAATGATGGGTAGACAGGTGATATATGGACATATGATGAATGATGGATGGATGATTACACTAAGGTATGCAGCAAGAAGGGTTATGATTAACACAGGTGCACAAAGACTATTTAAAAATCTCCAAAATGCAATTCAGGGCAATGGAAAATTCAATCATTTTTTTCATATACATTTGTGTACGAGATACTCCAGTTAAACACAGCATGCATACTGCATTCCCCCTGACTACACCTATACTGCATATTTAAATGCAGCCCAGTAGGGAAAACATATGCCATTTAGCATCTGGATCTGCAAGTTGGGTCAATTTTGTTGAATAAATACTGCTACAAAACACCAAATTGAAACTTACAGGACATATACATCCCCAGCTGCAGCCTGTTACCTTGTACAAAACAGACACGTCCTATCATCACCGTCAGTGATGCATTAACAGCAGCATAATTGCATAAGCCGCTACATGTTAAATCAACACTGAAAATCAATACACATAAACACAAATCTGATATAAATGACAAAATCATGTGTAATTACCTTAGACTTCTTGTTTGGTGTAGCTCTGCCTAGCACACCTGTTGTTCCACAGCTAGTGACCACATCACGATCAATTCATGAACGCTGGGAGTCTCGTGTCACAGTGTTCACTTAATTGTCATTGAAGGGTTTCCTTCTGGAATGGTCTTGGTATTTAAAGACTTGTAATACCTCCATTGGCATTTTCTTCAAAGATTGCAGCGAACGGGGAGATGATGCTACCTTTTTCCTTTTGTGTCTGCAAGGGAAATAGCCATCTATAGTCTGTTTCTATATATGGTATTCTGACTGTGCGTTGTGAAGTTACTGGGGAGGGTGTCATTTTCTATGGAGACATAAAAGGAAACATTTAATCTTTCAAAATTGCTTATTCTGCATTCTATGATGTAGATTGATAAACAATGTTTTAGTTTCGTACTTTGATCACTGCATCCAATTAATGTTACTTGAACAATGCAAAGGTGTTTTTAATGGAATTTAAAAGTTTTTAATTAAATTGAATTTTAGTTGCTGATAATAATGTTTTCATTTAGTAAATAACACATATACATGGAATATATGAGGATTTGTTGCCAGAACTAGATTGCTTGCAGGTCGATGTCATATGGCTAGAGTACTGCCATGTGGCACTATTAAAAAAAAAACACTTACTTTCTCAGGATAATTATGTTAGTGGTGGGCACTACTGGGGGAGCAGGACATACTTTTAGCAGGGTTGGCAGTACCTGGACACATAACAATTATCGCAATACAACTGACTCAGAATTGACCAGGAAATTGCTCATACCAAGGGAGACAACTGCTGATGGTTTTAGAGACGCAGAACTCAGACACTTCATATGTTGTCTATTTTTACATTGCAAAATACATGGAAACAGAGTAGAATGGAATGAAGACATTGCAACATACATTTCATTTTTACCATGTCTTATAAAAAAATCCTGGCTGTATTTCAGATGCTTAGTTTAAGATAGCTGGGTCAGACTGGTACATCAATTGATCAGATGCGGTAAACAATAAATTTGAACGATTTCTAAAGAATAATATCAAATGTCATTCCTAGTAAGCTGTTAATCTCAATCTACATTAATAACGCATCTTGATCAACCCCCACGTTCTGCAGACGTTCAATACATTCTTGAACCATATGTCTCTCGGCAAAAACATGAACAGTAAAAAATCAGTCCAGCTGTGTAGCACCGCCTCCAGTTGGGCCATCATGGGTCATCCTTTCAGTGTAAAATGGGTTATCCTGATACCTTTGTTGTCCCAAAACGTTAGGCTAAAAACCTGAGTACCTGTCATCTTACACATCAGACCATGGCGCCAGCAATATCACGAACTATTGGTCTATTTGTTGGTGGTCGCATCTACGTGATATCTGTGTATATATCCTCTAATACCATCATCATGATCTTAACTGCATTTATGTCAGACCTGAGGTCGGCTTCAAAAAGCCACGAACGCAAGTGGTATCACGCGAAATTTCAGCATTTCATGCAGCATTTCAGCTATATCTCACACGCTAAATAAATAAGCAACAATATAATCATGTTCAGGTAATTTATATCAAAGTAAGTTGCACCTTTATGATAATTATCTATAAATTATAGATACCTGTGTATTGATATCACTGACATATGACCAACACTATAATGATCATATTTTGGCACAACAGTACCCAATCTTTGAAATTTGCACTTTGTGGTTTTTTATCACAGAGTGTAGTTTGGGGAAAATCATAGGATACAGCTGCTTTTCTTACGAACATGAATATTTCAGCATTTCTACGAAGAGACGGGACACATGCAGTAATGAACTACCTGATCCTATTCTTCTGAAATGGAATCATCCTTCAAGGTTAGAAAGAAAAGGAAAATGTTGTGAGAAGGAAGTGAATTACTTAAATATTTTGACAGATTGAAATATAAAATAAATCTTAGTTAACATAAGAAAATTATTAGTTTAGAATCGTTTACAACATAACTTATTCACTTTATTCACTGGTAGTGCAAGCTTACCGATATACATTTTAGTGAAATATTACAACTGTTAAAAACGATTATAAGTCATTTAATTAATTTACTGGAAATGATAGCAATATTTTTATAAACTCAGAGTGAACATTCAAGTAATGATATACATTATAATCTAATCAAGTAATTAATAATTATTCCAACCAATTATTTTATTGATGCCTTAACAAAGTCAGGTTAATATGATTTAATTGCAGAACTAACAAACAAACACTAAATGATTCATGGTACAACATCCACCTGGTATAAAACTAAACTTGTTAGCTCTTTCTATAGGACATAATATAATTTTAAAAAGATAGTGTTGAAAGTGATTACCAATATCATAACGCATAAAACATATTTCAAGATACAAAGAATTTGTAAAAACCAAGGCAGTATCTCTTTGTCACACCCTGATCAGACATTATCAATTCAGATACAGAATAAATTCTTAATACTTTTCATATATAATAATAACTGTGATGAATATTGAAATGTATTTAACCCAAAAAGTAATTCTCAACCATGATTTGAGGAGATTGTCAATATTTGATAATTGAGCAAGAGCTAGTGTTTATTGGTTATATTGTTCAAGATTTGGTTATAATTGTTGAAAATGAGCTTCATATTTTCTTGACAGTGATTTTTCAGGCTTCAGGACATTTTCATCTGTGTTTTTAAGAAATTGTGATAGGACTTTACCAAATTTTAGAACAACTTTATGACATTATGGATGACAATCAGTCAGTATCCAGGTAAAGGAACTGGTCTGAATCCCTGTTTGTGTGTATTTTTTTAATTTAAGGAAAAGTCACATGATCACCACAGCAAAAAAAAGTGTAGATTTACTTTTTCCTGAAACCTTCCGGATACCTTCCCATTTTGAATCCGGCCCGGATACCTTAATAAATAAGTAAACCTAGTATTTGTGAAGCATACTTGGGATGTATGTTTAAATATCTAATGAATTCCAGGTGGCCAGCTAACTGATATTTGCATATAAATGTATGTTATTTCATGCATATGTAATACTTGTCACTTCACATGTGATTTGTAAAATGAAATATATATTATTTAGTGTTATGTCCTATAGGCATGTGGTTTCTGGTGCAATAAAACAAATATTTCTAAATCAGTAACAGTCATGATGACAACAGGTAAATTTGTTGATTAAAGCTTTGAACTTATGAGATCTTTAAGTCTTTTAATGGCATTTAGAAGTGATACACAAAAGGAAGAGAATTTCTGGATGTCAACTTCTTTATTATGATGAACACCACCTTTTATTATGAGGAACACAAGGTGAATATTATATTACTGACATGCTACATATTGACAATATAATATACTCTGCCTGACATGAGTGCTTCGAAGTAGTTGACGCTTCTAACTTTCAGCCATGGTGACTTCTTCGATATACCATTACATCGGACATATGATTCATTTTCACTCTCCAATATACAATTTGACCACAAAAATATAACCCCAAACAGATTATATATAACCCTCCTCTTTAGATATTTTTGGCACATGACTGGTACCAAAATATTCTGAGCCAAATTCATCGCCCGCGCAATCAAGTTTCGCCGGCTGTGACGCCATAGCGAATAGCCAGTGGTTGCCCCCCTAACGCCTAAAACAAAAACGGCAGCTTGTGGGCGGGCTTATTGATCGGGACTGGATCTGTGTATTGCATGGATCGATGCTCATGATATCAATCACTGGGCTGTCTGGTCCATACTTGAATTTGACTGCCGTCATATAGCTGGACTGTTCCTGAATGCAGCGTTAAACAACAAACAAACAAACAAACAAACAAACAAACAAACAAACAAACAAACAGACAAACACTAGCTTAAAGCCAGAAACAACATTTCTTTCCGATAATATAAGACAGTTTATGGGTATGGCAATCAGGTTGAAAAGGGCATCCTGGACGATTTGTTGAAAGAGTTATCTCCAGCAGACGAATGTTTAAATGACATATTCGGAAAGAGTATGCTTGCCTGTCTAATTAGCTATAAGTAAATGTTTGGTGAGTGTCCAGCTACTACCGCTGTCCGGCTACTGCCTCCACCGCTGTCCGGCTACTGCTTCCACCACTGTCCGGCTACTGCTTCCACCGCTGTCCGGCTACTGCCTCCACCACTGTCCGGCTACTGCTTCCACCGCTGTCCGGCTACTGCCTCCACCGCTGTCCTTTTTGACATCACCTGGAGTCATCATTGATTTATTTTTGTTTATTCCATTTTCACATGATTTCCACCGTAGTGTTTGTGTTTTGTGCGCAAATTAAACAGCTAGTCGAGACTGGTTATTCTCTGATGTAAGCGTCATATATTGTTGTTCAATTTTTAAGCAGTAAGTGTAATCAGAGACCATATAATATCTGGCCCGTGAAGATCTGGGGTAGAATAGGTCTTCAGCAACCCATGCTTGTCAAAAGGGGCGACTAACGGGATCGGGTGGTCAGGCTCGCTGACTTTGTTGATGCATGTCATCGTATCCCAATTGCACGAGTCGCCATTCGGCTTGGGCTTGTCCCGGAATAACACGAATCGGTCGCTATTCGGCTTGTCACGGAATAACACGAATTGGTCACGAATACCACTGCACTATTTGCACTCATAAATAATCTACCCGCTGTTGTCATTATGAAGTATTGTATTAATGTACAGCTTGATGCCTTTCTTGTAACCACATGTTTTTTATTCACTGTTTGTATTCATTATTCATTTTGAGTGGTAACAGTGATGTTTGTCCGGGACTATTTCCATTTGCGTATGTATCCTTTGTTTACATCGGTTGTACGGTTTCACGTGCTTCCATCGAAGCCCTACCGTCAATTTTGGAAATATCCTTCAAAATTTCAACCGTGAAACGTTTTGAAACTTAACTAAGGCAATGCTATAATCCTAGTCAAACAACTTTTGAACATAACAAAAAATAAACATTCAGTAAATATTGCATAATTTTCTTTGTTTCATAGGCCGCTATCATATGGGTACAAACAAGGATTTAAAGTGGCCTACCTTTAGCTTGAATACAGTAGTAACTTTTCAAACACGTCACAGCAACAGCTTGACATTGTAGGAAGGATCCTAGATGCTGACTCAGCGGGGGGTAGTGGCATCTTAGAACTGGACCTGACACAAACACTACTCTTTTACAGCTATCATTTCCCCCAAGATAGACACAATTTTTATGGATAACAACTTCTTTAATACTGTGAAAAGCGACGTTTCGGTATAGATCCTTATACCGTTGTCAAGCAATACTGAACGAGGGTTGTTGTTGTTGT